GTGGCCGCCCCAGTTAAGAACAGTGGCTGCCAGAGCTAAGAACAGTTACCGCCAGAGTTAAGAACAGTGGTTGCCAGAGATAAGAACAGTTGCTGCCAGAGTTAACTACAGTGACTGCCAGAGTTAAGAACAGTTGCCGCTAGAGTTAAGAACAGAACCGCCAAGGTTAAGAACAGTGGCTGCCAGAGCTAAGAACAGTTACCGCCAGAGTTAAGAACAGTGGCTGCCAGAGATAAGAACAGTTGCTGCCAGAGTTAAGAACAGTTGCCACCAGAGTTAAGAACAGTTGCCGCCAGAGTTAAGAACAGTGGCTGCCAGAGTTAAGAGCAGTGGCCGCCTGAGGAAAGAACAGTGGCTGCCGGAGTTCAGAACAGTTGCCGCCAGAGTTAAGAACAGTGGCCGCCAGAGTTAAGAACAGTTGCTGCCAGAGTTAAGAACAGTAGCAGCCAGAGATAAGATCAGTGGCCGCCCCAGTTAAGAACAGTGGCTGCCAGAGCTAAGAACAGTTACCGCCAGAGTTAAGAACAGTTGCTGCCAGAGTTAAGAACAGTTGCCACCAGAGTTCAGAACAGTTGCCGCCAGAGTTAAGAACAGTGGCTGCCAGAGTTAAGAACAGTGGCCGCCAGAGGAAAGAACAGTGGCTGCCAGAGTTAAGAACAGTGGCCGCCAGAGCTAAGAACAGTGGCTGCCAGAGTTAAGAACAGTGGCCGCCAGAGCTAAGAACAGTGGCTGCCAGAGTTAAGAACAGTGGCCGCCAGATTTAAGAACAGTAGCCGCCAGATTTAAGAACAGTGTCCGCAAGAGTTAAGAACAGTGGCCGCCAGGGTTAAGTTCAGTGGCTGCCAGAGTTAAGAACAGTGGCCGCCAGAGTTAAGAACAGTGGCCGCCAGAGTTAAGAACAGTGACCGACAGAGTTAATAACAGTGGCCGCCAGAGTTAAGAACAGTGGCCGCCAGAGTTAAGAACAGTGGCCACCAGAGTAAGAACAGTGACCACCAGAGTTAAGAACAGTGGCTGTCAGAGTTAAGAACAGTGGTTGCTAGAGTTAAGAACAGTTACCGCTAGTGTTAAGAACAGTGGCTGCAGGAGTTAAGAACAGTTGCCGCCAGAATTAAGAACAGTGGCTGCCAGATTTAGGAACAGTTACGGCCAGAGTTAAGAACAGTGACTGCTAGAGTTAAGAACACTGGCTGCCAGAGTTAACTTAAGGTTATCTTGAGATGAATTCGGGGCTTTTTAGTGTCCTTGTGGCCCGGTCCTCGACCAGGCCTCCAACCCCCAGGAAGCAGCCCGTGACAGCTGACTAACTCCCAGGTACCTATTTACTGCTAGGTAACAGGGGCATTCAGCGTGAAAGAAACTTTGCCCATTTGTTTCTGCCTCGTGCGGGAATCGAACCCGCGCCACAGAATTACGAGCCCTGCGCGCTGTCCACCAGGCTACGAGGCCCCTACGAGTTAGGAACAGTTGCCGCCAGAGTTAAGAACAGTGGTCTCCAGAGTTAAGAACAGTTGCCACCAGAGTTAAGAACACTTGCCGCCAGAGTTAAGAACAGTGGCCGCCAGAGTTAAGAACAGTTGCCGCCAGAGTTAAGAACAATTGCCGCCAGAGTTAACAACAGTGGCCGCTAGAGTTAAAAACAGTGGCGGCCAGAGTAAAAACAGTGGCGGCCAGAGTTAAGAACAGTGGCGACCAGAGTTAAGAACAGTGGTGGCCAGAGTTAAGAACACACTTTCGCGCATCCGAGCAGACCGTCGTTGTCACCAATATTATTAATCACACCGCACGCGTTCCGCTCTCGGGAGTCACGAGAAAAAATATTTGTAGAAAATCCATTTATTATCCGACCAACTTGGGAATTGTTTACAAATGTTTGCCATGAAATGTACGTTTTCTCTAAAAGCCGAACATTTTATTAAAGAGAACGTTGTGGCAGTGAATCATCGTGGTAAAACAATTGTATTATTGACACCATGAGTATAATCGACGTAGTTTTTATATATGTTGCCGGTCGAACGCATCCTTATGTGACCTTTAATACTTATGTTCTTATAGAACATTCTATTGTGAGCACATTGGTACAAAAATGAAATACATACATCGACAAATAAAGTCAGGACAGTGAATTGAATATACACTTTTCAGAGCGAGTTTCGCCGATATGCCGCCGCGGGTAACACTTCGGCCACTTCCCACACTGTTTTGGGTGGGCTACGACATTGAATCTATATTTATATGCATATGTCCGTGTAGAGAATTTTATTGCGATTCCAATGATACCACAGTTAGCAATGTAGGACAACTGTAGGCTTCGCAACCATTAGGAGAGTGGAAACATTTTGTTGCTGTTTAGTGCTCTCGGCGAGTGATCTGAATAGTTTTTTATTTAGTGTTGATAGTCCTTATGCTTTGGCGGCATTTTATAGGTATGTTCTTATACACAATTTTATTACGAACACAGTGATACCAAATTTAAATACGTGCGCCTTCAATTATTGTCAGGACAGTCAAAAGAGTGTACACTTTTTCGATCTTACCGCGTAGGCGCGCGAACCCCTGAAAGCCCATAGGGTATGATTTTTTTTTTGAACGCCTAGAGCGTGAAAGTGATAAATTATTAAGAAAAGTGGTGGCCAGAGTTAAGAACAGTGGTGACCAGAGCTAAGAACAGTGGTGGCCAGAGTTAAGAACAGTGGCGGCCAGAGTTAAGAACAGTGGCGGCCAGAGTTAAGAACAGTGGTGGCCAGAGTTAAGAACAGTGGTGGCCAGAGTTAAGAACAGTGGTGGCCAGAGTTAAGAACAGTGGCGGCCAGAGTTAAGAACATTGGCGGCCAGAGTTAAGAACAGTGGTGGCCAGAGTTAAGAAGAGTGGCGGCCAGAGTTAAGAACAGTGTCGGCCAGAGTTAAGAACAGTGGTGGCCAGAGTTAAGAACAGTGGCGGCCAGAGTTAAGAACAGTGGCGGCCAGAGTTAAGAACAGTGTCGGCCAGAGTTAAGAACAGTGGTGGCCAGAGTTAAGAACAGTGGCCAGAGGTTAAGAACCAGAGTTAATTAATAAGAACAGTGGCGGCCAGAGTTAAGAACATTAGCGGCCAGAGTTAAGAACAGTGGTGGCCAGAGTTAAGAACAGTGGCGGCCAGAGTTAAGAACAGTGTCAGTAAGAGTTAAGAACAGTGGTGGCCAGAGTTAAGAACAGTGGCGGCCAGAGATAAGAACAGTGGTGGCCAGAGTTAAGAACAGTGGTGGCCAGAGTTAAGAACAGAGGGGGCCAGAGTTAAGAACATTGTCGGCCAGAGTGAAGAACAGTGGCGGCCAGAGTTAAGAACAGTGGCAGCCAGAGTTAAGAACAGTGGCGTTCAGAGTTAAGAACAGTGGTGGCCAGAGTTAAGAACAGTGGTGGCCAGAGTTAAGAACAGTGGCGGCTAGAGTTAAGAACAGTGTCGGCCAGAGTTAAGAACAGTGGCGGCCAGAGTTAAGAACAGTGGCGGCCAGAGTTAAGAACAGTGACTGCCAGAGTTAAGAACAGTTGCCGTTAGAGTTAAGAACTGGTGCCGCCAGAGTTAAGAACAGTGGCCGCCAGAGTTAAGAACAGTGGCCGCCAGAGTTAAGAACAGTGGCTCCAATAGTTAAGAACATTAGCCGCCAGAGTTAAGAACAGTGGCCGCCAGAGTTATGAACAGTGGGTACCAGAGTTAAGAACAGTGGCCGCCAGAGTTAAGAATAGTGGCCGCCAGAGTTAAGAACAGTGGCTCCAATAGTTAAGAACATTAGCCGCCAGAGTTAAGAACAGTGGCCGCCAGAGTTAAGAACAGTGGCCGCCAGAGTTAGGAACAGTGGCTGCCAGAGTTAAGAACAGTGGCCGCCAGAGTTAAGAACAGTGGCTGCCAGAGTTAAGAACAGTGGCTGCCAGAGTTAGGAACAGTGGTCGCCAGAGTAAAGAACAGTGGCTGCCAGAATTAAGAACAGTGGCTGCCAGAGTTAAGAACAGTTGCCGCCAGAGTTAAGAACAGTGGCCGCCAGAGTTAAGAACAGTTACTGCCAGAGTTAAAAACAGTGGCCGCCAGAGTTAAGAACTGTGGCCCCAGAGTTAAGAACAGTGGCTGCCAGAGCTAAGAACAGTTACCACCAGAGTTAAGAACAGTGGCTGCCAGAGTTAAGAACAGTTGCTGCCAGAGTTAAGAACAGTTGCCGCCAGAGTTAAGAACAGTGGCGGCCAGAGTTAAGAACAGTGGCGGCCAGAGTTAAGAACAGTGGCGGCCAGAGTTAAGAACAGTGGCGGCCAGAGTTAAGAACAGTGGCGGCCTGAGTTAAGAACAGTTGCCGCCAGAGTTAAGAACAGTGGCCGCCAGAGTTAAGAACAGTGGTGGCCAGAGTTAAGAACAGTGGCGGCCAGAGTTAAGCGGCCGCCAGAGTTAAGAACAGTGGCCGCCAGAGTTAAGAACAGTGGCGGCCAGAGTTAAGAACAGTGGCGGCCAGAGTTAAGAACAGTGGCGGCCAGAGTTAAGAACAGTGGCGGCCAGAGTGTGCTGGTGTTGGTGTTGGGTGTTGATTCTTCCGCAAGAGTACTTACCACTAAGAGCAGCGTGGGTGTCCCAGCAGCAGGGTGGGGGCGAGGCAGCGTGGGTGTCCCAGCAGCAGGGTGGGGGCGAGGCAGCGTGGGTGTCCCAGCAGCAGGGTGGGGGCGAGGCAGCGTGGGTGTCCCAGCAGCAGGGTGGGGGCGAGGCAGCGTGGGTGTCCCAGCAGCAGGGTGGGGGCGAGGCAGCGTGGGTGTCCCAGCAGCAGGGTGGGGGCGAGGCAGCGTGGGTGTCCCAGCAGCAGGGTGGGGGCGAGGCAGCGTGGGTGTCCTAGCAGCAGGGTGGGGGTGAGGCAGCGTGGGTGTCCTAGCAGCAGGGTGGGGGCGAGGCAGCGTGGGTGTCCCAACAGCAGGGTGGGGGCGAGGCAGCGTGGGTGTCCCAGCAGCAGGGTGGGGGCGAGGCAGCTTCCTCAGCCACCACTCCACACGGTCACGACCCGCCAGCCTCGCCATGTCCAGAGGTGTGTCTCCCTGTATGTTCCTGGCGTGAGGGTCGAGGCCGGCCTCCACCAAGCACTGTGTTGCCTCCAGACCTCCGCCCCTCGCTGCCTCGTGTAGTGCTGTCTCCCCGCGCTTGCTTACAGCGTGACGGTCACACCCGGCAGCTATCAGCAATATCTGCACAACACCTGTGTGGTTACCTAAGGCAACATAGTGCAGTGGTGACCGACCATCGTCGTCCCGAGAGTCAGGGTCAGCGCCGGCACCAAGTAGCGTCACCACACACGACTCATGACCTTGCTGCGCTGCCGCATGTAGTGCGGTCTCACCTGTAACACCGGTTATGTTGAGGCTTACATACAACATACACAAACTTGCTTTAACTCTTCATAATACAACATACTGCAGCATGTGTTGTGGTTCTCACCATCAAGACCCCTGGCCTGCAGGTGAGCCTGGGCGCTGAGCAGCTGCCTCACCACCTGGTCATGGCCCCTGCCAGCCGCCCAGTGTAAAGGTGTGAGGTAGGACTCCCCTGAACCCTCCACGGGGAGTCCCGCCGCCAGCAGGTGAGGCACCAGGTGAGTGTGACCCCTCGCAGCCGCCACGCTCAACATGCAGAATGACTCTTGGTGAACACGGTCCACCACCGTGACGGAGGTGTCAGCACCCAGGGCGAGGGCGGCCAACACCAGCACCTGGTCACCTCTAAAGACTCCCGCCACCAGGTCCTGCAGGATGACAGTGGTCACTGGTAACGGTGCAGGAGATAATGATGTTAACCAATTAAACACATTACCATTAACAACCTAACGACAAACTTTATGACAAGAGCCCATTACTGCAAACTATAAAGAAATAAAGCAGTACAGCCGGTAATCATCTTGACAGCCAGTTTACAGTTACATTAAATGCTCGTCCAGTCGACGACCACCTTAAGCAAAGACCACCAACCAAGTGGCCACTTTATGCATCAGACCAGTCAGGAACAGTCAGAGTTTCCACGATATATATGACCTGAGTCAACAATTTAGGGTCAGGGCTAGGACAGGAAGCCGGGGGCTTGTTATGGATCCTAATAGACTTCCTGAAGACCATTTTGAGCTTTACGGCCTCGGTGGACAGGTAGTTTCGTGTATTATTACACAAAACAACGAACAATCACCTCCAAAGTAATCATAAAACTGCTGCCTCTTGTGAAGTGGTCAGCGTTATCAGTTTATATTTGTTCAGTAATATGAGTGTCAGTGAGTCCAGCCTTAATGTTCTCTGTACACAGTTGTTGGTGTTGAAGCTCTCAGTGTTTCCTTACATGACAGTTGACTTTGTTCTGGGATGACAGTCGCCCATGTTTGTGACGCCTTCATGCTTAGCTACTGTAGTCCAGCCGGGGCATCACATGCCTACTGTAGTCCAATTGGGGAATGCCGTGGCTACTGTAGTCATGGCGGGCCATCAAAAGGCTACTGTACTCCAGGCGGAGCATCACATGGCTACTGTAGTCCAGGCGGGAGCATCACATGGCTACTGTAGTCCAGGAGGGGCATCTCGTGGCTACTGTACTCCAGTCGGGGCATCTCATGGCTACTGTACTCCAGTCGGGGCATCTCGTGGCTACTGTACTCCAGTCGGGGCATCTCATGGCTACTGTAGTCCAGGTGGGGCATCACATGGCTACTGTAGTCCAGGTGGGGCATCACATGGCTACTGTAGTCCAGGCGGGGCATCACATGGCTACTGTAGTCCAGGCGGGGCATCACATGGCTACTGTAGTCCAGGCGGGGCATCACATGGCTACTGTAGTCCAGGCAGGGCATCACATGGCTACTGTAGTCCAGGCGGGGCATCACATGGCTACTGTAGTCCAGGCGGGGCATCACATGGCTACTGTAGTCCAGGCGGGGCATCACATGGCTACTGTAGTCCAGGCGGGGCATCACATGGCTACTGAAGTCCAGGCAGGGCATCACATGGCTACTGTAGTCCAGGCAGGGCATCACATGGCTACTGTAGTCCAGGCGGGGCATCACATGGCTACTGTAGTCCAGGCAGGGCATCACATGGCTACTGTAGTCCAGGCGGGGCATCACATGGCTACTGTAGTCCAGGCGGGGCATCACATGGCTACTGAAGTCCAGGCAGGGCATCACATGGCTACTGTAGTCCAGGCGGGGCATCACATGGCTACTGTAGTCCAGGCAGGGCATCACATGGCTACTGTAGTCCAGGCGGGGCATCACATGGCTACTGTAGTCCAGGCAGGGCATCACATGGCTACTGTAGTCCAGGCGGGGCATCACATGGCTACTGTAGTCCAGGCAGGGCATCACATGGCTACTGTAGTCCAGGCGGGGCATCACATGGCTACTGTAGTCCAGGCAGGGCATCACATGGCTACTGTAGTCCAGGCGGGGCATCACATGGCTACTGTAGTCCAGGCGGGGCATCACATGGCTACTGTAGTCCAGGCAGGGCATCACATGGCTACTGTAGTCCAGGCGGGGCATCACATGGCTACTGTAGTCCAGGCAGGGCATCACATGGCTACTGTAGTCCAGGCGGGGCATCACATGGCTACTGTAGTCCAGGCGGGGCATCACATGGCTACTGTAGTCCAGGCGGGGCATCACATGGCTCACACTGTAGTCCAGGCGGGGCATCACATGGCTACTGTAGTCCAGGCGGGGCATCACATGGCTACTGTAGTCCAGGCGGGGCATCACATGGCTACTGTAGTCCAGGCGGGCATCACATGGCTACTGTAGTCCAGGCGGGGCATCACATGGCTACTGTAGTCCAGGCAGGGCATCACATGGCTACTGTAGTCCAGGCAGGGCATCACATGGCTACTGTAGTCCAGGCGGGGCATCACATGGCTACTGTAGTCCAGGCGGGGCATCACATGGCTACTGTAGTCCAGGCAGGGCATCACATGGCTACTGTAGTCCAGGCAGGGCATCACATGGCTACTGTAGTCCAGGCGGGGCATCACATGGCCAGGCTGTAGTCCAGGCGGGGCATCACATGGCTACTGTAGTCCAGGCGGGGCATCACATGGCTACTGTAGTCCAGGCGGGGCATCACATGGCTACTGTAGTCCAGGCGGGGCATCACATGGCTACTGTAGTCCAGGCGGGGCATCACATGGCTACTGTAGTCCAGGCGGGGCATCACATGGCTACTGTAGTCCAGGCGGGGCATCATGGCACTGTAGTCCGGGGCATCACATGGCTACTGTAGTCCAGGCGGGGCATCACATGGCTACTGTAGTCCAGGCGGGGCATCACATGGCTACTGTAGTCCAGGCGGGGCATCACATGGCTACTGTAGTCCAGGCGGGGCATCACATGGCTACTGTAGTCCAGGCGGGGCATCACATGGCTACTGTAGTCCAGGCGGGGCATCACATGGCTACTGTAGTCCAGGCGGGGCATCACATGGCTACTGTAGTCCAGGCGGGGCATCACATGGCTACTGTAGTCCAGGCGGGGCATCACATGGCTACTGTAGTCCAGGCGGGGCATCACATGGCTACTGTAGTCCAGGCGGGGCATCACATGGCTACTGTAGTCCAGGCGGGGCATCACATGGCTACTGTAGTCCAGGCGGGGCATCACATGGCTACTGTAGTAGGGTCCAGGTCCAGGGGGCATCACATGGCTACTGTAGTCCAGGCGGGGCATCACATGGCTACTGTAGTCCAGGCGGGGCATCACATGGCTACTGTAGTCCAGGCGGGGCATCACATGGCTACTGTAGTCCAGGCAGGGCATCACATGGCTACTGTAGTCCAGGCAGGGCATCACATGGCTACTGTAGTCCAGGCGGGGCATCACATGGCTACTGTAGTCCAGGCGGGGCATCACATGGCTACTGTAGTCCAGGCGGGGCATCACATGGCTACTGTAGTCCAGGCGGGGCATCACATGGCTACTGTAGTCCAGGCGGGGCATCACATGGCTACTGTAGTCCAGGCGGGGCATCACATGGCTACTGTAGTCCAGGCGGGGCATCACATGGCTACTGTAGTCCAGGCGGGGCATCCATGGCTACTGTAGTCCAGGCGGGGCATCACATGGCTACTGTAGTCCAGGCGGGGCATCACATGGCTACTGTAGTAGGGCATCACATGGCACTGTAGTCCAGGCAGGGCATCACATGGCTACTGTAGTCCAGGCAGGGCATCACATGGCTACTGTAGTCCAGGCGGGGCATCACATGGCTACTGTAGTCCAGGCGGGGCATCACATGGCTACTGTAGTCCAGGCAGGGCATCACATGGCTACTGTAGTCCAGGCAGGGCATCACATGGCTACTGTAGTCCAGGCAGGGCATCACATGGCTACTGTAGTCCAGGCGGGGCATCACATGGCTACTGTAGTCCAGGCAGGGCATCACATGGCTACTGTAGTCCAGGCGGGGCATCACATGGCTACTGTAGTCCAGGCGGGGCATCACATGGCTACTGTAGTCCAGGCGGGGCATCACATGGCTACTGTAGTCCAGGCAGGGCATCACATGGCTACTGTAGTCCAGGCGGGGCATCACATGGCTACTGTAGTCCAGGCGGGGCATCACATGGCTACTGTAGTCCAGGCGGGGCATCACATGGCTACTGTAGTCCAGGCAGGGCATCACATGGCTACTGTAGTCCAGGCGGGGCATCACATGGCTACTGTAGTCCAGGCGGGGCATCACATGGCTACTGTAGTCCAGGCGGGGCATCACATGGCTACTGTAGTCCAGGCAGGGCATCACATGGCTACTGTAGTCCAGGCGGGGCATCACATGGCTACTGTAGTCCAGGCGGGGCATCACATGGCTACTGTAGTCCAGGCGGGGCATCACATGGCTACTGTAGTCCAGGCGGGGCATCACATGGCTACTGTAGTCCAGGCGGGGCATCACATGGCTACTGTAGTATGGTCCAGGTCCAGGGGGCATCACATGGCTACTGTAGTCCAGGCGGGGCATCACATGGCTACTGTAGTCCAGGCGGGGCATCACATGGCTACTGTAGTCCAGGCGGGGCATCACATGGCTACTGTAGTCCAGGCGGGGCATCACATGGCTACTGTAGTCCAGGCGGGGCATCACATGGCTACTGTAGTCCAGGCGGGGCATCACATGGCTACTGTAGTCCAGGCGGGGCATCACATGGCTACTGTAGTCCAGGCGGGGCATCACATGGCTACTGTAGTCCAGGCGGGGCATCACATGGCTACTGTAGTCCAGGCGGGGCATCACATGGCTACTGTAGTCCAGGCGGGGCATCACATGGCTACTGTAGTCCAGGCAGGGCATCACATGGCTACTGTAGTCCAGGCGGGGCATCACATGGCTACTGTAGTCCAGGCGGGGCATCACATGGCTACTGTAGTCCAGGCGGGGCATCACATGGCTACTGTAGTCCAGGCGGGGCATCATATGGCTACTGTAGTCCAGGCGGGGCATCACATGGCTACTGTAGTCCAGGCGGGGCATCACATGGCTACTGTAGTCCAGGCAGGGGGCATCACATGGCTACTGTAGTCCAGGCGGGGCATCACATGGCTACTGTAGTCCAGGCGGGGCATCACATGGCTACTGTAGTCCAGGCGGGGCATCACATGGCTACTGTAGTCCAGGCGGGGCATCACATGGCTACTGTAGTCCAGGCAGGGCATCACATGGCTACTGTAGTCCAGGCGGGGCATCACATGGCTACTGTAGTCCAGGCAGGGCATCACATGGCTACTGTAGTCCAGGCAGGGCATCACATGGCTACTGTAGTCCAGGCAGGGCATCACATGGCTACTGTAGTCCAGGCAGGGCATCACATGGCTACTGTAGTCCAGGCGGGGCATCACATGGCTACTGTAGTCCAGGCGGGGCATCACATGGCTACTGTAGTCCAGGCAGGGCATCACATGGCTACTGTAGTCCAGGCGGGGCATCACATGGCTACTGTAGTCCAGGCGGGGCATCACATGGCTACTGTAGTCCAGGCGGGGCATCACATGGCTACTGTAGTCCAGGCGGGGCATCACATGGCTACTGTAGTCCAGGCGGGGCATCACATGGCTACTGTAGTCCAGGCGGGGCATCACATGGCTACT